TTTGTTTAAAAGCTTATTCTCCTATGGAAGAGAAACTCGGTAACTATTTAATACCTTGTTCACTCATGAGCGTATATATGCCTAAATAGAGTAAGTTACAAGCGAATTTCGCTAATGTTCGAGTATTTTCTAACACGGTAGTGTTGTACAATATTGGTTGGTACCGTTTACGCCATATTACTGGGAAAAAGGACGGTCACATGGAATTCGCATATTCACAAATTCGTTGGCTCGAGTACTTTTCCTCCAATGCAAATGATTACATTCTGTAATACAAATAATAAAAATATTTTACTTATTCATCGTCACGTGTTATCTACAAATGCAGTTCTCGATGATAACGATAGTTATCCAATTACACAATTTAGTGCAAGAGTGCATTATCAGAATTGAAACGTGGAAACTAAACATATCACAACAAAAGGAAATAGAATATTTTGGGATTGATAATAATAAGGGGGGACAACTATCTTCAAACTTTAATTTTTTTAGCATTTGCGTAACCAGAGTGTAGATTTGTGGCGCTCGAATTTGAAGTAGCACAGTATTATCTTTACAGTACTATTGTTTGGGTGTTGGCATCTCGGGTTAGCAGCACAATCAACCAGTGGGGCAATTATGTAATAGGAATTCTTGGGAAAAAGAAAAGGTCTAACTACTCTTACTCGAGCCTGGACTTACGCACCTCGAGTCTTTCATATGAAAAAAAATTCGTGAGAAAAGTTGTTGAACCCGTGTAACTTTATTTACAAATGTTTAGCCGGTGGTCACCAATAAATAAAAATTTCCTAAACAGGTTGTATTGCATTGATAACGGAGAATATTCCAAGTTAGCTCAGAAGCACATTTTTTCCATCAAACTATTACAAGTTGGGTATCTTGTCAAATTCATAGACTCTTTTTAACCCTTTATGGAGAATACGGACTACTCTTATGACATCATAATTATAAACCAATGTCGATGGTAATTGTCATGTCATATTGTAGTAAACATGTAGATGTCACTATCAGCTTTATAGTTAATATCGCTTTTACTTCGTAATCGGATCGACAATAAGCAAAGCCTTTTTGTTTTATCGCCACTACTTTTTATTGTCAGCGTTTATACTTTGGCAATTGTTATGACGTACCTGCGTATGTGGTACATTCATACCTTTTTCATCTCCCCAATTTTATTGTATTGTTTGTAATACCCAACAGGGCAAATATCATTCATTGGCCAATAGCATGCTTATTGTTTACGTGCAACATTCGCTGCCCATTTATTAGGCCGCTTCTTCGCTATACCGCCCTCCGTACTTGTTGATATTTTTCTCCCACGCCTATTTCCAGGCAAATAAAACCCAGTATCATTTTACATTTGTCTGACAACCCCCAAACTCTCTATGGCTCTCTTTCCTCGAACTCCTCTCGCAAGCAGTATACGCCGTTTGTCTCTCCTCTCCCGCCCTCTTCTCTCCACTTCTCACCGCACATTTCTCTCTTCCGCTATACCGCCTACAACTTATGAAGCCGACAAAGACTACTGGCAGCTAAAATCTACCCTCGATGATATACGTGCCAAGTACGGCCTCTCTGGTGGTTCTCGTATAAAAGACCACAATCTCGATGTCCACTCCGATCTCGAAATCGATGTTACACCTCCCGCCGATATTAAGAAGTTGGCTCAGATTAACAACTTGCTCGAGACAGCTTCGAAAGATATCCAATGGTATATCTCAGAAACCGAAAATAATACCAAGGTAGACAAGAAAGTGTGGCTGGCAGAGGATGACGATTTGAGTGGAAATAGAGATGAAGCCATTAAAGCGTATAGGGAGAGCACGGTAATGGCAAACAGTACGCTTCTTCACGTGTACGATTTGGAAGAGTCAGTTGAGCAAAAACCTCCGGGATTCCAACACGTTCATTAGTGCAAAATGTAAATAAGTGCAACGAATGTAACGAAACCAAAATGTGACCATCTTTCAGATGATCGAGTCTATACTGGATATGGTCTGTTTATTCTGTTTATTCATATTCCAATTTTGATCTTTATTTTTACCCATTTTTCTTGTATATACTGTATGCTTTGTGTTAATAAAGCCAGATGTTGTTAATTCTGTCCATGATCCGCATGATCTTATGACCATGAAGTATGTCAATGAATGTGCTATAAAATCGAATGTATGTTACACTAGGTTCAAACAATCGCTATTATTGTACTTTGTAGCATTGATATCCAGAAAGTGAATACATTTTTGGTTCATTATCATTCTATGGAACGTTTTGAGCCAGATAACAATGACTATCGTTTGCAATGTTCATGTTGTGTACCAATCGAATAGTACTATACGATCACCCTGCAAATAGTCTTGTCTAAACAAGATTGCAAGCTCAGTGATGATTATCATTGGCTTACCAGTGCTTTTAACATTCTTTGAAAGTTTCGAGCCAACCACGTCTGAAGATATACTGTACGCAACCGACTAATCAAGCATTTTAAATTACAAATATTGGCAAGAGCGTATTATTAGGTGAGCGAATGAGAAAACTCAAGCTTACTTGTTACACGTGTATTTATGCTGGTCCGTATATTTCCAATTGTATTATTATTATTTTTTACTATTAGCATTAGCATCTTAAATGGTCGACAAATATGCTACTCTATCGAACAGATTACAGCTTGTCATAACAATATTAACGCATACTTTATGGTATGGTACGTATATTTATCAGTCTCTGATTTTGTTGATTGTAACTTATGAGAACTACATGTATAATGTAGGCGGATATTGTATTAGTATTAATTGTTTATTCTTGTACAATTTACAGTATCATTACGTTATGAATAAACTCCAGATGAATTGATAAGAATTTCTTACCTTGGTCAATTATTGCATGTCAGATGACTGCTATGATAATGAAGGAATTAATTCAACTTGTGAACGTTTCTGTCAATAGAAACTCTGGACCTGCAATTGACTGGCGCGATATGATCATATGGGACATACTGTAGCAAACCAGACAAAGTAAACATTTGATCATTTGAGTCAAAAATGGCTAAAAGATCAATCAACAATTGATCATATTTTGGAAAGGCTTTGTTCTAGTGATGCAGTTTTGGCTCATTACAATCATGGACTAGATTTTCATCGCATTTTCAAATGTATACTAATATATAATACCGCAAAACTTTTTACCAAAAATTATAACATGCTTAATATTAATTTAGGATATCTTCATATGGGGCAGACTGCAACAAAACCAGGAAAAGTGAACATTCTATAATAATAAATGATTATTATGTGGCTGTACAATTGACCAGTGTGACTGACGTTTTGAAAAGTAATAATTAATATGCCATTGCCCAATATAATAATAACCTTGCTTTATGTTACAAAAAAGGAACTGGAGTAGAAAAAGATGAACAGAAAGCTGTTGAATGGTATAAAAAAGCTGCTGAACATTGCTCAAAATAATCTTGCTTGGCATTGTCAACATGGAACTGGAGTAGAAAAAGATGAACAGAAAGCTGTTGAATGGTATAAAAAAGCTGCTGAACAGGGATATGCCAGAGCTCAATGTAATCTTGGTTATTGTTATATATATAGACATGGAACTGGAGTAGAAAAAGATGAACAGAAAGCTGTTGCATGGTATAATAAAGCTGCTGAACAAAAAAATGCTGGTCAGTTAGCCAATGTACAAGTTAATGATCAACAAGCTCAAGCTTTTCAATCAGCTTATGAAATAGCTGGTCCAAGTAAAACAAGGCCAACCTAAGATAACTCTCTCTAAATGCAAGTGGTAAGAAATATGTTTAGTACAGAACATTTGACATGAAATGGAGCAAATATAAATACAATGACTATGAATGGAGATAAATTACATACAGACTATAATATTTTATATTAATATCAGGAAAAGATTTAATTGTTTATAAATGGTGTCAATAGTCAAGCTTAGTAAACCATTTTATTTAAAAATGAATTACAGATAAAACCCAAGTGCACAATGTTGGGACAAACCATTATTATCATTATCATGTGCATTTATATTTAGGGAAATAGTAATTTGTGTAACACCTTTAGTAGGGACAATATTAATATATTTATTAAATATTGATTTGTCTCATTTGACGACTTCTCATATTAACAAATCTTTCAAGACTGTTTAATAGTCTTATTATTTATATTGCTCACTATCACTTATGTTTTCTTGTTGCAACAAAAACAATCACACATTTCTAAGCTTTTTAATGCACTACTGGCACTTACAGTAGAAATTTCAACACTGTTATCCACTTTTTCAGCATTCACTTTATCAATATTTTTAAATGTCTGCAATTTTTTATTATGATAAGTTGGCTATATGACTTCTGTTATTCCCAATTTACCTCCTTAGATGCATGAATGAATACAGACTAATTGACATTAAACAATGATTATAATGACTATGTGCTGTTCCAATCCCCCCTCCTTAATGCCAAAATACAAACAATTTAAATTTCTATTTATAATAATAAGAGAATAGTAATAAGTAATAACTTGATATTGATTGGTCAATACTGATACAAATATAATCACGTGTGTGCATTTAGGAACAATAGTTTATGCAGATGGGACTGAAAATTACCGCAGGTGCAGGATAGTAATAGCATTAGAGGAGGTGCACTTAGAGGATTTTATCTGTAGTTATGTTTCATAGTGTTATGTTTAGTCACATGAGTGTGTGTTCTGTTCTGAATTTGATCTCAAAATTTAGCATATCTGTCAATTAGGCGGGAATTTATTTTTGATGCATGCCTTCATATCTCCTATTGCTAAATGCAAAATCAGCCCGAATGGACATTTACCATCAAGTAAATTGACTATGCTTTTTTAATAGAATTATTCCAGAAGCCTATAATAATAGTAATATCGACAATCATACCATCGACGATAACTTGTAGAGCGTTGTATTCCGACGAGCCATTTAGCCAGTGAATTATTTCATAGACGGTTGATTTTTATTCTTTGCCTTTCATTTATCTTACTTTGTTGTTGATAGACTAAAGTATGAATTTATTCATTGTTGACATTTAAGCCGCAACCATTATTCAGTCCATGCATTTAGTAAAAATGACTAAACGTAATCTTATAATTGAAAGAATGACTTTTTAGTCATTTAGAACGAGAATTTAAGAAAAAAATCCCCGGTCTTTCAAAGCCAACAATACATAATATAATAGCAAGTATTGTGGAAATAATATGGCTCATGTGCTAGAAACTGCCAATACTGACAGATAATTGTTGTTCGAACTAATCGCCGGCAAAACTACAATGCAAACATTGTTTAATCAATTGGAATTGCTGTCAGTAAAACGTGTTGTGTATAAATTGAGTTATACAGTCGGTTTACTAATGTGTCTGTCATGGATTCTCCCGTGTAATAGCTGAGTGGCTGCTCGACAACCACTTATAACTTAGTTTGTGAAAAGACAAATACAAATGGACGCAAAATAATTAAAAAAGGTGATACGGGTTGACAAGTGTTTAAAGTTTTTTTGCGCTTATGGATGATGTAAATTTATGTAGATTTATTATTTGTACTGATTTTAGAAAATTTAAACTTTAGGCTGCGTAACTTAATGTTGGCTTTTTCTACGACACAAAAGCTGTTAGTATATAAATTTTATTATACTGACTAACACGCTACAATTTTTTGTACGATATATGTGCTAGCTTCAGTATTAATGTATGGTAATTGCATTGCTCCTTATGTTCAATATTTGCATTTGATTGCAATTTTAAGGGTAGTCGATGACTGCCGAAGTACTCTAGATTCAAAATTCGATTTCTCAGTGAAAAGCAGGACATACGGCTAACGTTTTATAAATCTGATAGCACTTTAAATAAGTGTACATTTGCGTAAATTTGTATGTGAATTAATTTTTAGCCTATTTATTAAATATTTGTGATTTTACTACTGCAATTTTTTGTATATGTTACCTATGAGGTGAGGCGCTAAATTCGGTATTGTTTAGCTGATAAATTAAACAAATTTAAATATTAATACATTGTTTATTTGTTCGAAATAAAAAATTTACAAAGCGGGCGGCAGTCACAATGCCACAAGAACAAGTCCAAATCAATATAGGAATTACCGTATTCTTCCGAAAATAAGCAACACTTTTTTATTATAGTGTTGCTTATTTTCGGGCAGTTTAATAATATGAAAGAAATTCCCATTGAATTATGTGATTTCTGTCGATAATACCACTGACTCCGTCATTAGCGAGGATGATATCATTGACATCATTGATGAGACGGATTAATCATTTTCTTTATTGTAACAATAATAATAAAATAAAATAACTAATTAAATACATTTATAAAGGTAAATTATTTATTCTAAAGTGTTGCTTATTTTCGGGTGTTGCTTATTTTCCAAAGAATACGGTATTTATTTACAATTACATCGAACAATTTATCAGGAAAATAAAAGTTAAACGTGTGTTTCAGCGCGTAATGACTAAAGTCGAACGGAAAGTTACGCTTCTTACATATCTAATCGAGCCGCTTTCTAAATGATATAGGTGAAAACAGTTCGGTAAAGAAAAATATACGCCATTGACTTTGTATTTTCAAAAACCAATTAAACTATTTGGTCAAATGCGTTTGCTAATTTACAGCTAGACTATCTAACTTGTTTTAGCTTTTAATTTATAAACGCTTTCGTTCATGGACAGTTGCGCATAAGAATAGAACTACAGTATTACGCACAACATCTAATAATAATTCTTTATTGAAACGTATTGATTATAAAAGAGTTGTTATAAACTCGAATACAATTTTTTGCGTTCCCACATCTAGTGAGCGAGTTTTGTTTACTAATTGTAGACGATAGGTTTACTAGTTTCACTCCATGCCTTATCGCACCATTATATGAGTCGTTCATTACAATGGTATATTATGACGCATTCGCGCTTTCAAAAACGAGAATTGACGGGCACGAAATGGTTTCTCGGGTAATGATTCGTTTGCGAACATGAGCATTTTTGTGTAAAGCTTATTGGAGTTTATAGATTGCAGGAAAACTCTTGTCACGATGCCTGTGTAGTAAACCAGTAGATTGGGAAACTATGAGGAGTTTGTCGCGTGTTATCCGTGTATTTTCCCGTGCTTTGTGACACTGTAAAAAGTCCCAATCGAACATTTCCTTTATGATAAATGGCAACAGAGATGGTATTCTGAAAGGAAATGGAAGCACAAAGCCGAGGAAAGTTATAATCAAAGCCATAGTAGCGATTACTCAATGTTCACTTTTGCCTGGCGTTGTAACAGCATGTCGACATTACATTGGCATGATTTGCGTAAGTTTTATTGGTATTTACACGGTCAGTTCAAAAAGAATGGTCTCCAGAAGAGACACACAAGATGAGTCGTGATTGTCACTTGATAACCGAATTATATTAACTTTTACTACTTTAATACTGTTCTTTGCGTAATCGTACAAGATATCCCGACACGTTTATTATATGTTGACACCCCAACACATTGAACTTCGGCAGATGATGGACGTGCATTTATGCTTTTTGACTATAACGGGGTCCCAATCTAGCCTTAAGTTCCTGGTATGTATGGATATGTGCCTGGGGTGAAAACATGAGCCTGCGCTCTCGACATTTGTGGCGATATTGGGTACGAGTATTGAGATGTTGTTATTTGAGATGCCGTTATTTGAGGTGCTGTCGGAGAATAGGAAAGATGATTTGTAAATGATAATTGTTGTTGCGGTATTTGTGTAGATGATTGTGTATTATATGATGATGTAGATTGTGTTTGCTTTACTTGTTCCTAAGTTCAGGTAAAAGATAATAAAGTCAATATATTGACGTTATCGCAGCAACGCAAGAAGCGTCATATGTTCAAATCCCATATACTCACCAGCAAAGCAAGTAAATGATTAATAGTAGTATTCTGGGATGTATTCTCGCTTACGCTCCCCGATTTACTAAGATCGGACGACTGACTAATACTATTGCTCACTTGATTCGATGTCCCATTCATATACATTTGATTGGTAAGCGAACTAACTGCAACCGAGCCATTCAAAAACGTTGTGTTTATTACTGGGGTTATTGCAGTCGGATTGAGACATTGATCAGATCCACGCGTTATTGACTGTAGCGAGAGCTGAAGATTGGTAGATTGGGCTTGGACGTGTGGTTGTTGTTGCTGTTGAATGGTTACCATTGCCAACATCTAGAAAGCAAAAAAGCACGTTTACGTTAGGCTGACGTTATCGAATAATAAAAGATCAAATACAACAGGCTTCGTTAATATTGATTCTGGTTGAGATCTGCACGCACCTTTTGAACTTTTTGTGCTTGTTCGAGACGTTCTTGTTGTGACTGTATCATTGGCGTAATGGAGTATCAATATTAGATTCTGTACTGATACATCCATGGCAAAACCCTGAAACGAGGCTTAAAAGAATTCTGTTCTTTCATTGATAATATCTTACCATAGATACGTAGTCAGATGTTAAGGCTTGACTGGAGTGTGTGGACGGGTATTGTGAATCATATGGAGTATTTGATTGACTTTGAGGTGGTGAATCATGTGATAGCTGGGGAGAAGGATATACTCCTGGAGATAAAGAAGCAATGTTTAGTATTCCATAATAGGAGAAGCACTGCTTGCACGTTATCATAACGATAAACACTGTTGCCACTTGCGACGGCCATCATACTTATCGTTGCGATAGTGTCCAACTATTTAATTATTACCATTTTCGTAATGACGAGAATCATGACCGTGACATCCATTAGACAATATATCGGTATCATGGCCTAAGTCATAGAACGAATAAAAATACATGCAATGTTAAGCTTTTTAGATTTATATAATAATCAACGAACAATTTAGCCTCCTACCATAGGCTTGCAGATGGTATTCCTCATTCCCGCCTGACAATCGCAATTGATAGTCGTTATTATTATTATTATAGTCCGCGAACGAAACTTTCTCGAGCGCACCCGAATATCCATTTCGGACAGCGTATCGAGCTGCTTCCTTGGCCTTGATAGCTAATCGATTGAGTAAACTGTTACTTGCGCGTTGCCTAAGTATTCGGACGTTTTAAACAGATTACCAAAATTGAGCAAGTAGATACGATGTATTATTGATAAACAGAATACTTGATTTGAAACACACTTTGCGGATATGTCCCATGCATATTTACAGTCGAAATATCCACCATTGTAGCTGGCATTCAGCGTTGACGCGAACGCTCTTACACATGCTCTACTATCCCAAAATTCAACAAATCGCTGACTGTAATATTAAAACAAATTAATATCAACATAGGGAAATCAAATTATATTTGCTCACCGTTTAGATACCTACTTTGGGTGGCCTTTGTAGTCCCTCACAACTTTGACTTCTCCAAATTGAGAGAAATGTCTTGTTAACGCTTCGTTTTCTAATGGT